TTTGCTGACTTGGCAAGAGGGAAGAGACTGACGATGACTGAGGAGGAAATGTTATCCATACCTGTTTCAAACCCTTCATTTCATATCCATTTCATCTTCAAGATCAGTGTCTGCTTCTGGCAGAAAACAAATGGGTTAAAGGCTCAGTGCTGTGACCTTCTTTCCTTCTGGTGTGAAGTGTCTGCAATAGCTCTCACCCTGAATTGCTCCAGCAGAACAAGGACAGGACATATTCCTCATCCCTTCTTCTTCCCCTATTGCTCCTAAAATACTTCCATGCATTCATTGGTTATCATGAAGAAGGGCACACTCTCTTCTTGTTGTGAGGCAAGAGGGGGAAGAAAGGAAGGAAACACCTTTTCAGGCTGCCTGTAACAGGAGCTGACAGTAGCAGCCAGCAACACAGAGGAGAGGATGTGTATTTTGGTCAACTAAGACACTTTTCTGTGAATCACCTTCCCTTTTTCATTCAAACCCATTCTGCTCCAAGAAGCCATCAACAAACTCAATAACTCAACAAAAACAAACCGTATATCTGCTCAAGAACAGACCATTAAGTCTGTAGCATCCTGCTTGTGAGCTGTATAGGTGTGGATCAGTTCCATGTAGTTAGGGATCCTGCCAAAGACTTCTCAGAAGTGACTAATGATTCTGTGTGCATCAGTTTTTTGGCACCTGAACACCCACCCCCTGAAAGTCTCATCCATTATACATGCTGTTATATAACAAGCAGCCTAGTCCTTCCTCATCAGGGCGGTGCTCTGGTTTCCAGGGGGAACAGATTAAGCCTTCAGGTTTCTCCCTCCTTGCATTCACCAAGAGTGTTCCATAAATAGTGTCACCCCTACGTACAAACCCTCAAAACCCATCTGGATAGCTGTGTACTGCTTAGGGTAACTTCAGTGCTAGGATCATGCAGAATTAGAGCAGTTTTTTTTTTTTTTTTCCTCAGCAGAACTGGCAAAATATTATCTAAATGCCACTTCATTTTAAATATATCTCTTCATCTGAGTTGTTTGGTACATATTTCTCTGGGTTGTTTGCATAAATTTAGCTATTAAGAAAAAAGCAGAGTGGGTTGGAGGAAACCACAACAGTGTTCCTTACACATCTCTCTTTCACCAGCAAGCCAATGCTGTTTTGTACAGCCCTTCTAGGTGCTTGATGCATGTTTTTCTAGCAGAAGGAGCAAAACACCAGCAATTGCTGAAATGACTGGGAAATCCACTGCTGCGATCAGCAGAGCCAGGAACGTACCTCAGGTGCTATGGAAGCACCCTGCAGATGCAGATATTCTGGCAATGAAGAAGAGTCTGAACCATCTTCCTCGGTTGCAGCTTTACTACAAAATCCAGATATAGGTCTAGAAAGTGGGTTATTTCAGTAGACCACTCCGCATGTCAGGAAGCTCATGGGTTTGGGTTTCTTGCTGGCTATTTTGGCTGCTGTTGCTGCTATGGGCAGGGCCGATGGGTGTGCAAGGGAAGCTGTTACCTTCCAAAAATCACCTGGATCAACATCAAACACTATTGTTGTGTTGTGTACCATCAGGCACAAACCCCAGGGCCCTCTGGCTGGCTTATAGCCGTGCTATACCTCCCAGAGTTTTCTTGGCAGGAGTAAATTTGTGTCATGTCCCTCTTCCAAGGGTAGGTGTAATGCAGTTCTGCCCACATGGATGAGGTGTTGTGAGCCTGCTCTGCCTGGTGTGAAGCTGTGGAGCTTGGAAGTCACGGTCTGTTTTGAGACAAAGCCAATCTTGTGCTGCAAGAGTGTTGTTACATTAAGCGAAAGATCATCAAACATTTCAGAATGGACCTCACTAGTTATATCACTTACGTACATGTAAACGTAATGAATAATGGCCATTGTTTTTGCAAAGCTACTTGATAATTGTCAGCTGAGCTTGACATTTCAGCTAATGGATTAATACAGCTGATTGTACTGTGGAAGGGACCTTCTGTCTAGAAGAAGCCAATCTCACTTTCAGTTCCAGGTGGGAGATAATGCCTAGTATTATTACTAGAGACATCTGGATTTAAAATCAAAGGTAATTTCAAATATAATTCAACTTCGTGCAAATCCCAGGTCTTTTTGGCCTGGCCAAAAATATAGTTATTTACTTTACTTAGTGATTAAGCTGAAAGCATCTCTTTTTTTCCTCTTTAGAATAGCTGTTACCCTTTAGTGAGATAAGATTTGAGTTCTGACTATCATTAATTCTTTCTATAAACACCCTCTGATGAAATACATTTGAAAAGCACACACAATGCACTTCTTTTCCTTAGCCACAAATCCTGCACACTCTGGTCTGCAACTCCTGTCTGGTCTCTCATCTCCCTTATGGACGCTGGTGTTTGGCTGGTGGCTTAATTTTGATCCTCCTTTCAACCTCCAGTATTAGGAAGAAAAGGAAACTCTTCTAATAGGATAGATTATTGCCACAATATACTCTTGTATTTTATATTTTTGTTATTGTTAACAGTCAGGAAGACCACAAACCTAACGTCTAGAAAGAAATTTTACAGATCAGCTTTAGCAAAATAAAAGTTTCAGTAGGAGGAAAGTTTTAATTGGATGTAGATGGGAAAAAATAATTAATTAGGCTGTATTATGCTCTTGACAAACTGTTATCTGTTTAATATCAGTTGCTGAATTGCCCCTGCTGGAATCTTAAGGCTATTGAAAAACAAAGTCCAACATTAAAGGAGGCTGTAGAGAGGTGGGGGTTGGCCTGTTCTCCCATGTGCCTGGTGACAGGACGAGGGGGAATGGGCTAAAGTTACGCCAGGGGAGTTTTAGGTTAGATGTTAGGAAGAATTTCTTTACTGAAAGGGTTGTTAGGCACTGGAACGGGCTGCCCAGGGAGGTGGTGGAGTCACCATCCCTGGAAGTCTTCAAAAGACGTTTAGATGTAGAGCTTAGGGATATGGTTTAGTGGGGACTGTTAGTGTTAGGTTAGAGGTTGGACTTGATGATCTTGAGGTCTCTTCCAACCTAGAAATTCTGTAATTCTGTAATCAATAGGAATGTGGTTATTATTATATTTGCAATGAAAGTCTTAATATTTTTTTTAAAAACTCTATAGACTTTTTATACTCAAATATTTTAATTAGTTAACAGTAAAAACATTTTTTCTTTGGGTAGTTATTTTTGCATGAGTTTTCATTGCTGCCATGTTCAAACATTATGGCTTTATTTATTTATTTATTAAATGCACTTACATGTATTTCCTTGAAATTCCTGCTGGCCCAAACTCTTATAAGCTTTGTTGCATGACATCTGTGTGTAAGGATGAATTTGATTTATCAAATCAATTTATTTGATTTATCTTTAAAGCAAAATAAGCAGTCCTTTTATCTTCATATACTGGTTGTTATTGCCTCAATATGTCTACTAAATGGGCAGATTTACTTGATGTTCCATGAAACAAGGCAAGTGGGCAGAAAATGGCATTATCAGCTCTATGTGGAAAAAAAATCCATTCTTCATATGAGAAGCCAACAAAGCCAAAACTTAAACCAAATCTTTTGCCTGTTTGACTGTGAGGACACATCTTTGATGCTGTCTGGCTGTCCAGGCTCCACCTGTGAAGTTCTGTGAGGAAGCAGACTACACTGTCTCTCTTTGAATGTGACCGTGAGGTACAGAATATGGTTGCACAATATTGGTGGAAGAGTTGGCCCAAAAGAATGTGTCCATATCATTCAAATAAATGTTCTCATCCAGATGTGGCAGTTGGTTAGATCTCAGAATACTTGCTGCTTGACCACGAGAATTTCTCTCTCTTTTTATTTATTTTTTTGCAAGACCTTTTGTCGCAGAGCTGTACTGAATGTCTAGCTTCCAGGAGTACAATTTGATATTTCTGACGTGACAGTTTTTTTTTTTTTTTTTTTTTTTTTTTTTTTTTTTAGCAAAGAGGATTAGCTAGGGGAATCAATGACCAAGGGGGGAGTGATGGATTCTTGATGTCTTGATATCTTCATAGCCTGTCTGAGTGCCTTTCCGAATGGTAATCAAAGAGGCGTTGTCTGGCTCTGTGCAGGGGCAAACGGGTGATGCTCTTTGGCTTGTGCAATGAGCAGGACGAGCTTAGCTGCTCCATTGGCCTCTTCTGGCCAATCTTTCTTGAGATCTAGGAGCTGAGGACAAGGCTCCCTAGGGAGGTATACCCAGGTCTGCTGCTTCACTTTCCTGGCATAATGACATTGATGCCTGGTGGTTGAAGTACAGCTGTTGAGCACAGCACTGGAAGCTCTTGGGCTGAGGCAGTGAAACAAGTCAAAGGACTTGGTGCAGTTGTAACTGGGATGCTTCTGCCCTATGCAGATCTGTTGGCTCCCTCCAAATTTGAGAAACTGTCACCTCATCTTCATTCTAATCCTGCCCTTCTTACTGCCTGTGCTTCATGCTGTCCCTGTCAGCACCCTTTTTTTTTTTTTTTTTTCCCTTCTCTCTCTTCAGTGTCTTATAGGTCTCTCCTAAATTGTCCCACTCTCCAATATGATATGCCTTTCCCTGCGTATCTCACCCTGCTTGTGTGTCTCGCCTCCCCTCTCTTTTTCTTTCTTACCTACCCAGACTGTAAATTCCCATGGGTCCTGCTACTTTGTGCATATTTGGTAGAGCTGGCTTTTTAGGTTAGTGCTGCAGGAAGACACAGAAATATGCCTTATTTGACCTGTTTGTTCCAGAGTGGGTCATGAGGAGGTAAGCACTCAATGCAGAGGAAGGTAGATCCCCATTTATCTACATTAATGCCTGGCTACATCCTCATTAATCCTTGGTGCTTCAGTTCTACTGTAGAAAATGTGATTAATAATAACAATAATAATTTGCAAAGATTTTTGTTTAAGGGGGAAGGAGGAGAGAGAATTGAAAACTTATACAAGTTATCCTTCAGATCATAAGGCTGAAAGTTGCACAGAAATTAAAAGTTGTGATTTCTTTTCTTTTAGTATTGTACTATCTAGTTTTGTATTCTGTCTTTGCCTTAGAACAAAGGTTTGTTCTTAAGGTTGTGGTTTGCAGCTGAAGCCACCACCAACCGAGGACCAGCTGGCCTATTCACCTAGAAATGAGGAAAGGAACAATTTTGAATATGGTGTTGCATCTTGCAGAATTTCCTTGCTGAAGCAGAAGGAGAGATGAAGTACTACGGTATTGCAAGCAGGGGTCCAACACTCACTTTCTCTTTAGTGGCCTGACCATGATCCCTCCATCCAGTGGAAGAAGAAAGCAAAACAGCGTCACCAGAGCTCAGCAATCTAGTCTCACCCCTGAAAATCCTGGGACTGAGAGATCCTGAAGTGTTTTCTGAAGTATGTTGGTGTTTACCAACCTTGGACTTCAACAAGAGAAGCAGCAATGGGGACTCTGGTGTGCATGTACATCTGAGTATGTACATGAACTCCCATTAGAAGGGAGGGGGGAGAGAGAGAGAAAAAAACAAACATGTGCCAGCAACATTGCTTACATCTCCTTTACCTGTTAATGCCCCTGAATAATTACAGTGTTTAAATATTAGCCATTCCTTCGGATTTTTTTTTTTCTCTTTCAAAATTAATATATTTTTTTCAAGCTAATTTGGGCCAGAAGGTTGCTCTTATTTTGGAGCTGTGCCCCTCTGAAGCAACCAGGGTGTGTATTTCTGCTGGCTGGGGCGGCAGTAGCCCCTTCCACCCCATTTACCTTGGTGCATACTGGCTTCAAGTGTTGTCTCACAGTGGGGACAAAGGACCTGTGCCAATCAGTTTGGAAAGATAATTGACTTCGGACTGGTGACTGGTACTGTGGTGATTCTGTTTGGTGAGCAAAATATTGACTTTCCCTGGTAGGAAATGAATATTGTAGAAATGACTTAAGTGTCTTTTTTTCCTTATTCCTTTCTTTCTTTTTTTTTTTTTTTTTTTTTTTTTTTAGAATTATAAAATGAACTAGAGAAAGAGGAAAAAAGGGAATGCAACAGGAGGAAAAAAAAAAAGAAAGAATGACTACCCTAAAAATATGTTTTCACTTGTAATATTTGCAATATACTTTGGAAACTGGGAGATTAAATTTCTTTTCCTATTGCTGTTTGCCAGAATGACACAAACTGTGCCTGTCTTTTCTGTTGTGATTCAGTGGCACAGGAGCCAATGTGGACTAGTTTTTCAGCATTCACTGTGCACGCAGCATCTTTGATAATATTAACAGTGATGTGTACAACTCTGGGAATACTATTTAACTGCAGCAAGTAGGCAAGCATGTCTTCTTCTGGGAGAGCCAGGCTGCTGTTTTCTTTCTATTTTTTTTGGAAACATTCTTATCTTAGTGTAGTGGTGTGTATGTATATATTTTTTTAATGGTAAAATTTTACTGGTGGGTTTGGTTCAGATTCCCAGACAAATACAGTTCTGACTCTGCATATGCTTAACCACATGTGTATACTTTATGTATATAGTGCATATGACATTAAGAAACACTTTAATAGCTTGAAAAATGTTTTCAGACTGTGCTCCTGAAGTCAGTGGAACTCTCTATGTACATGCAATTGCACACAAATAAATTGGTTTTGATCCTCAGAAGATTTTTGTTGCATCCTATTTTTAAGCTTAAATGAGAGAAGCTAAATAAACTGTACAGGAAATAAGGTATACACACCAGCTAGCTATAATCACCTATATTCAGAGACTTGTATCCCTAGGGTCTCTCTGTAGTCAGTGGAGATAGAGATATTACTCCAGAGATGATTCAAAGCTCTTAATTTAGACACCTCAGGAGACTAGTCTTCTAATTTAGGTACAAAAATTAGGTGGTGTGAATAGCCCTCCCTGTTTTAATTCCTGGATGCAAGTCATCCAGAAAATGGTTGTTGTCATGCAAATAAATAACGGGAACACAAACAGCACTGGTGGCTCTGACAAAGGCTTCCCGTGCCCCTGGCAGGCTAATTAACCTCCCCGTACAGCTCCGAGCCTCGAAGATGGGTGTGCAGCTCTGCGCGGCTTTCTTGAGCAACTGCTCATTAATATTGGCAGCGTACCCTCTGACCCTGGGAGGGAATCGGGGAGCGAAGAGGAAACATTTTTACAGTACGCAAGCCGCTTGATGTCTTCCCTATTAAGGGAGGTGATGAACGTGATGCAGGAGTGCTCGCTGGGAGGAGGGATGTGTGAAAAGGGCTTCCCTCCTTGGGGAGTGGGTGGGGAGGAAGGGCGGAATGCAGCTGTGGGTACAGATGTGGTCTGATATCTTCCGTGCAGGGTTTGGGGACAGCTGGGCACACTGCTGGGGTGGAGGACAAGAAGATCTTTCCTCAGTCTGGTGGAGCACAGTGGCAGCGCTGCTGCTAACAGCTCAATGTAAAGAGCTGTGAGGCACGGGATGAATGGAGGAGACAGGCTCTAAAAAGGCCCAAATTCCTTCAATACACAGGTGTTCCTGTAAATAAAGGAGGAAAACACAGCTTAAGCGCGTCACCTTGCCATGGGAAGCTAGGCAACACCTGCCCATGAATCCTATGCAACCCTGCCTGGCCTGTGTCCCGGGGGTGTTCCTGAGTGCCAGGTGCCCAGCCGGGAGATGACAGCTCCCCAGCTGTGTCTGTCATCAGTACAGGGGCAATGAGAATGAGTTTGGTGTCTCTGCTGCAGACTCCAGCCTGAATTTCCCTTACAGAAAATGATGGTGGCTGCCTTTAAACTGCAGGGGCAGCAGCACTGGAAACCAAAATGCGCAAGGTGGGGGGCGCACTGAAATTCATCTCTAAGTGCTGCTGGACTTGTGAATTAAGTCTTTTACTATTGGAAGTCCCTCGAGCAAAGCAAACTGGACTCTGGGCCCAGCAATCCTTGCTGCAGAGCAGAAGGTGAATTTTATGTGTGTTTTTATTTTTTTTTCTCTTTTTTTTTTTTTTTTTTTTCCCTCCTGTTTTGAGCCTCCCCAGCTTTCCTTTTTGTGAACTGACTGTGAAAGGTGTTGGTTGTCTCTGAAGCAGCATGGGCAGACTCATGCTGAAAGACTTAGCTCTCCCATGAAAGGCTGAGTGGGAGGACTGGCACAGAGCTGGGCTTGATTAGTATTGAGCATAAGTTTTTCCTTGACAAGGCTTTGGCATATCTCTGGTTACTTACCTTTCCTCTGTGCCAAGTCCTTGCAAGACATGTACCAAATGTCCGGTGCCAAACAATCTTTTTAAATATTAATCACTAAGGAAGCACATAAATTCTATGGCTCAAAAGCTGTGCGTGTGTCATTTGATCTAAAACAAAACAACACTGGGCCTACATTTGGTTTCAGTTTCTTGTTTTCTGTGTTTTTGAGATTTTTTTTTTTCCCCTTCCTATTAGCCACTTGTCCATGCAGACCAGATCAGGTGTATCCCTAGCTTGTGTGCAAAGGGGTGCTATTCTGCTATTAACACTGCGCTAAGGCCAGCTTAACTTCTGGTCTTGCTGCCACTGTGGGTGGCAAGAATGACCGTAGCTGGAAAACCCTTCTGGGCCAGGGCTGTCACAGGTTACAACCTCAGCCATGGTGTTTTCACCACGGGTAACTTTTTGCTCCTGCCCTACTCTATGAAAAGATGACCTCAGGTTTATAAGGCTATATCTTAGCAGTTGTCTCGGAGCACAATCAAGATTGGCAGGAATGTCAGTAGTCTTTATATTGCTCTTCTTACGCGTGAGGTCTGGCCAGATACTGAAGGCTAAAAAAAGGTTTGTGGGTGGCAACACAGAAGGGACCTCTTTTGCATTTTGTTTTCTCAGACATGTAGCCTTCCTACTTTACCTGCCCTGGCTCTGACTCCTATCTGAACTGCTGGTGAATCGGTCTATATTTGCTCATCAAAAAAAAAGAAAATGATGCTTTCTGCTGGTTTTATGTGCAAAGGAAGAGCCATCTTGTGAAATCTCACCTTAAACTTTGCAGCCAAATAAGGTTTATTCTGGTCAGGTTACACCATATGTTCCTCAAGTCAAGTCTAGGGAAACAATCCAGAGAGGATTTCAGCTCTGTGAGGACTGTATAGACATTGTTTTCTTTAAGGAAAAGATAGATACAAATAGATAAAAACCCTTTGAGATAAAAGGCTGAATAGAAAAGATGGTGTTTCCCTCACTGGAAGGGAATGCTTCACAGGACATAGCTGGTAAGTAGGAGACACCAACATTTTTACTTTCTCCTTTTTATTTTACTCAGATCAGCAGGCTTTGGATCTGTAATACCCCTCAGTGACGGGCTCTGGAGGCAGAAGATCCACCTGACTTGCTCTCAATCACATTTCAGTTCATGTTGGCAATGTAGGAGAAACTACTGCTTTCAGGGAAAACACCTTGTTATCAACCTTCAAAATGTGTGCATTTTGAAATTCATTTTTGTTTGGCTTCAGAACAAAATCCAGAATTTTTAAGATGTCACCTTTCCAAAAGTTGTTGGGTGAGGTAAAGTTTCTAAAATTTTAATTCAAAGCCCAGAAATGTGTTTTTCTGTTTCACACTTTCACTTGCATTTTGACTGTCTGTGGCCTGCTGATAATGGTAGTGGTGTAATATGTCCTGATCATGTTCATTTATTTTACTGTAAAAGTAAAAATATTCTATTCTTTTCATGTTTTTGCCTAAGGATAACTTATCAGAGGGGTAGTCATATGAGACTGAAGATGTACCATAAACTTTTCAATTAAAATTTGAAATCAGTGTTCCATTTTAAATTATTACATATGAATACAGATCAAAGTGAACTTATTTTATGTAATATCAATTCTTAAACAATGTATTTTTGACCAGCGAATGTAAAAATTTAAAACTTTGTTGAAGTTTTTACAACTTGGCTTCCCTTTAGAAGTTGCAGTTCAAAGCCATAGGGAAGACCCATGATATTTTTACAATTTGATATATATATATATTTTTGTCTAACACTTGTCAGTTTTTCTTAAATATTGCTGATGCAGCCAAAGAAAGGGGCAAGTAAGTGGAGATAATGAACATCTATTTTGTGCAAGGATTTGTTGGTCTCTTTCTAGCTCAGCCCCTCGAAATAAGTGACTGCATACATTTTATTTAGCTCTGCGCCATTAGCAAAGCTGTCGTAACAGTAAGGTCAGTTCTTTTGAAATGCAGAAGTTAATGCAGAAGTTACAGTGATGTGATGAGAGTCCCCAAACCATTTGTTGTGGAAATGCAGCCATCCCATTTATTTACAAGAAATCTGTCCCTACTTCTGTGTCCAAGTGAAGCGAGGTTAGCTCACTTTCAGGTTGTAAAGTAAACTCAGGCTGTTGACGGTGATTGAGATAGCTAACCCTGTGGTCCAGCTGTGGGACAGAGCTTTTCACTTTAAGTGTAACCCAAGGAGCATATCACGTCATATCATGTTTAAGTCTGCAGACTTATGGTTTCACTGGGAATAGCTCCAACATAGTGTGTGAATGGAAAATCATTAAAAAAAAAAACCACACAGCTTCAGAGAGCATTGCTGAGAATAAGAGGCATGCCTTCCTTGCCCAAATTAGCCATGTTTGAGGAGATGAAGCAGTGGTGGTGGAGAAAGGACTGGAATTAGTCATGGTAATGCTGGCTCTGGGTTTGATCCAAATGAAATCAAGCAAAGCATTTCTGTAGCTTTGAGTTTTCCAAGGCCTGTACATTGCTATTTGGACAAATGATGTACTGCAATTCTTTCACATCCACAAGACCCCCAGTTATGTTTAAAGGATCCACCATACACTCCTCTCTGCTGTCCACTTGAGGACATTTCCATCTCAGACACTTCCAGCTGCTTGACCCTGCACCTCTGAAGCAGATCAAGTCACTTACCAAAGGAGAAGAGGTGGCATTTCAAGCCCCTGGCAGGAGGAGAGGAGCTGGAAGACTTGGGAGTGATTCTCAGTCTCTTCATTAATGCCAGGTGT